AAGGCTTTGTCCTGTCCATGGGCGCCCACCCCACGGCTGGTGGCCTGGTGGCACCCGGGCCGAGGTTCTGTCCTACACTCCGGCTGTGGCTACGGGCAGTCAGTGCATCACAGAACTTAGTCCCGGGAGCTCGGCAGCGACGGGGGGGGGACGACAGTGGGGACACCGGCAAAGGCTGCTTGCTGTCCCTGTGTCCCTCAGTGCCACCGTGGGGTGGTGAGAGGTGAGGGAGAGGCACGGGGACGTCGGGGTGTTGGGTTTGGGGTGGCACCGTGTGACGGTGGCTGTGCCCCCCCCCATAGGAGCCGTCGCTGTACACCGTCAAAGCCGTCATCATCCTGGATAACGATGGAGATCGGCTGTTTGCCAAGGTGAGGAGGGGGGGGGGGGGGGCACGGAGGGGACAGGGATGGGGACAAGGAGGTGGGATTGAGGTGGGATGGGGATGGGGATGGGAATGGGGATGGGAATGGAGGGGACGGGGTTGTGGGCGCAGAGGGACAAGGGAACAGGGATGGGGACAAGGAGGTGGCATTGGGGGGATGGGGATGGGGATACAGAATGGTGGGGACAGGGTTGTGGGCACAGAGGGACAAAGGGACAGGGATGGGGACAAGGAGCAAGGAGGTGGGATTGGGGGCTATGGGGACACAGTGGAGGGGACGGGGTTGTGGGCACAGGGGGACAAAGGGACAGGGATGGGGACAAGGAGGTGGGATTGGGGGGGATGGGGACACAGAATGGAGGGGACACGGTTGTGGGCACAGGGGGACAAAGGGACAGGGATGGGGAGGAAACCAAGGTGGGGAACGAGGGGACGGATGTAAAGGGACGAGGACGTGGGCACGGGGATGGCACACGGATGGCGGTGGGACACAGGGACACCTTGGTGCCCCGCTGCTGGGTGGTGGGGCCCTTTGGGTCCTTCATGTCCCCACTGTCCCCGCAGTACTACGACGACACGTACCCCAGCGTCAAGGAGCAGAAAGCCTTCGAGAAGAACATCTTCAACAAGACCCACCGCACGGACAGTGCGTGTCCTGGGGACGGGGGGGGGGGCTGTCCACTGTCCCCTCCCACCTTGGGGATGTCACAGCCATCCCCGGTGGCCGTGGAGGTGACACTGCTGTGCTCACAGGTGAGATTGCTCTGCTGGAGGGACTGACTGTTGTCTACAAGAGCAGCATCGACCTCTACTTCTACGTCATCGGCAGCTCCCATGAGAACGAGGTGGATGGGGATTGGGGTTGGGGTGCCAGGACAGGAGGGATGTGTGGGGTGATGGCGTTGGGGACACTGGGGTGACACAA